ATATAAGCGCTGATTACACGAGTAAACGCTCGTGGAGCACGTAGTGGGCGGCGCACAGCGAGACCTGAACGCACAAACCGCGTACTATGAACATGTGTCTATGTGTTGGGCTGTTATGTGGTTTTTCTCCAAACTTTTCCGACTTGTAATTCCACTTACGCTCCGCGCATAATACCGCAACTTATTACAAATTACACACAAGTGTATCTTATGCATGCGCAGCCAAATGGATGCATGTACATATATATGTATGTTTGTATGTATGAAGGTATGCCATGTAAGCGATATGCATTTGTAGCGTGCGTGTGTGTGTGAATGTTGGTGTGTGCTTCATTTACCGCCTCGCTGTGCTTATTTGTCAACGTCGTTGGCGTCTTACGTACTAAATACTCCTATAACTGAAAATACATACAAACACACGCATGCACATGCGAGTTCATACGAAAATATTTAGGTGCATGCCACTGCACGCTCCACACTACTCCACAATTTCCAAGTCTGCTCAATACGACTCGATTTCAATCGCTGTGCATCGTGCCCGCTGACTTGTGCCGCGACAGCTTTGCCGACTGCCGACTGGTGATGCCGTCGCCGTTGCCGTCGGCGCGTAGTTGCTACTGCTGCGCCGCCACTCGAGACTGTTTGATTTAAATTTAAATGAATGGACGGCATAAATAAATTTTCGCCGCTGCGCACCATAAATGTTGCTATTGGATATTTGTATGCATGTTTGTGTTTGTGTGTGCATGTAGGTGCATGCAAGGAGGCACATTAGTACAAACACGCGTCGCAAGCTGCAAACGACCATATTTTCGTATGCGATTGCTGTTCTTGCGGGCCGCGCTCCACCGCCGACCGTCGAATGCTCCACACGCTCGAGTGTACGCGAGTGAGCGCCCACAAGTTGGCATATTTTCAATTTCCGTTTTCAACACATAAACGCACACACTCGCATATGTGTGTAGATATGTATATGTAGATAAAACGTATATGGTCATGTGTTCAAATATTGTTGCAATTGTCTACACATGTACGCTTGTATGTATGTACATATGTATGTAAATGTGTGCAAACAAACGTAAGGCAAACGCGCGCACGAAACCGAATTACTGCTTGGCGGCGTGACGTGGGCAGTGCGGTTGGGGGCTGCACGGCACGGTGTTGCCAGGTGTGTCAGCGGGGAAGCTTAATCAAACTGCCTCTATCCTTCGCTTCCTGTAAAATTGCCACTAATTGTGTACTCCTTCGTAGTGTTTTGAGTGCAAACGTTTGCTTTTATTTGAGGAAACCGTTGATCTCATCTGTTTATCGTGCTTCTTTCGTTTCTGATCAGAATTGGCATAATATATGTACGCAGGTGTGTGTATTTTACTGCCTTGACTATTCTAATAGTAATAATAGTAAGTACCTAAATATTTGAAGAAAGTTTTCATAAAGCATTTCAAAACATTAGTCGTTCGATTTACCTCCAGCACGAACCCGCTTGGTCGGCGTTTGTATATAGATATGTCTACGCATTTGGCTTACCGGAAATGGAAGCTACCCTAAATATACAATAAACACTTTTTTTTTGCTTTTTCTCAAACGCATATGGTAACTGTAGTCGCTGTTGGGCATATGTATGTAGCTCGGCCCCTTGTTGCTACATTCGCACCGCACTACTGCTTAGAACCGTTTGGGGCTATTATGGCAATCTGTATTTATTAACTCATTCGGTTGCTATAGGGGTAATCACACATATCCGGTGTGTTATAGTCATTGAAACGTCACTGTAACATATGTGTATCTACAAAAGCGTCAACATATAAGCTAACCTAGTGTGTATGTTGGGGTGTGTATTATGATTTTTTACCGTTTCATTAATTATTGCTTTTGGGGGCCTTGTTATTAGAAACTGAAATCTCTTTCATGTATATTCTTTATTTTTTCAGCACTTGTTTTACAAAATGCAGTGAAGTTTTTTCATCAACCAGTTTCGAATCTTACTCATGCACATAGGAAGCCAGCTAAATTTGGTTTAAGATTTATAATATGCGATAACTTTCATTCTGGTGACACAAATGCTGCGTGCGCTTGAGTGTTTGAGCCGGGTTAAACTAATTAAGATGAATTTCAATAAAATATAATTTTTTCTATTCGGTTATGTACAATCATTTTTTATTATCTTTAAAATTTAGTATTTTCCATTTACATACCAAGAAATTGGATGCGTTTTTCCCAATTTTATGATCTCTACAAAAGGAAAGATCGATTTGCTGAGTAATACTTTTTCTAAGCTTTACTCATTACATTTCAAAATTATTTTAAACTTTCTTCGAAATTTGATGATAACTGAGGCCAGGCCCTTGCTGCGTCGGAAACTGTCAGGGCTGGAGTATTTTTATGCATCCGGAGGACATGATATAGCCAGTTTGTCTCCTACTAGAGAGTTCACCTATTTTGTTGCTTATTGTTATTCGAACTCTTTTTTTTAATTTTTTTTAGATACTGCAGTTTGTGACACACTGAATTTTGAAGGTAAACTGTTCGAGAGAGCACTCTGAGATGTGCTGCAAAAGTGTAAAATGTGTGAATAAACTTCCTTAAATAACAGTAAACGAAACAACAAGTAAATAAAAAAGTAAATCAATTCGAATTATGCAAAACTGTGTTAAAACTCTCGACCGGTCTATGTTTAGCATTTACCAAGTATGTAGCTTGTGTTGCTTGGAGCCGAATGTATTTGTTAGTAACAAATAATAAAACATTGTAGGTAGGTGGAAATAAATTAAATTGAGCTCGATTGATTTGGTAGCCGTTAGTGCTGAATTCGCTGCAAAAAAAAAAATGCAATGAAAATTATTATAAATGAAATGAAGGAAAACACGCCTAAAGTTGAATGAATGAATGAATAATATCCGATGCACAACATGAGGGCCCACTCTCGACAACACATCGGCAAAAACGAACCCGCCGCGTAGCAGAGAGCGCACCATTCGCGGTGGCTGAATTCACCGCTCCAACCAACACATGCTCAAGGCAGCGCGAGACACTCTTCCGTTTAGTAATTTATATGTATTTATTTAAGTCAGTAGCATGAATTTCGGTTTGTACGCGCATCAGTGTGAGGGTGTCTGAGCAAGAGTGCATGTCAGTCTCACTGCACATGTGTTGGTGTGCTCTCTCCACGTTAGACTCACTCAAATTGAGTGCAGCGCATGTGTTGGCGTTTCGGTTGGGCAGCTGGCGAACACATTAGTTGCTTGAGATATTTTCGGCGAAGTGGACGGTTTGGTTAACGTCGTTCCGAGCGTGTGTGTGTGTGGATATGGAGATTCTTACGCGACACTAACAAAAAGTGAAGTCAAAAGCAATAATGTACAATATATTCATTTGTTTTGTGTTAAATAAAATTAATTTTCGTTGAAAATATCGAATTTTGCTGAAACGATACACTCTAGTGCTTGTGTTTGCTATTGTAGTGGTTTCCGCTGAAAAGTGAGTTATAAAAAATGTGCTTATTGAAGAATTCATCTTGTGTAAAATTTTGAAATTCAAAGTGAAATTAACTGGAAGAAGAACAACTACACGGCGAAGACTGCCAGTCTTTTATAATACTACCAAAAGATTCATAAACACCCCATGAACCCAATAGAAATCAAACATCGGCAAGCGTGAACGAAAATTCGAACGCTCGACGTTTTGGCAGCGGCAAGGCGCAAAGTTTGTTAGAGGTGCCTAAACGATCCGTTTTTCCTAGAAACATAAAATTCCATCTAAAATTTTTGTATCCATATATAACTCCCTCACTGTGTTACCTTCTATATCGACACCTACATACGTTTACAACTAGTTGTTAATGAAACATCTTCCCCCACAAAAACTTACCAGCTCACTCTCCGACGCTTCAGTGTCGTCCGCTCACTTGCTTTCCTTCTTCACCGCCCACCGAAACTTCGCTCGTTTTCGCCATCGCCATCACCATGGCACAAGTGCAAATTCATTCATTTCATTGACAAATGAAAGCAGCACAAACAACAACACTCACGTAAAAGAGCTAAATTATATTCAGCAACATTTTAAGCAAATATGCGGTGTACATGAGTGGAGCAACAACAATGCAAAAACAAAAAAGTTCAAAGCAATAAAACGATTAAATAAGAAACATGGGAATAAAAATAAAATAAAACTAAAGAGACAACAAAATGTATAATAATAACGCGACGATCGAGAAAGCGTAACAAAAATAGCTGAGAAAAAATCAAAATTGCGAAAGCAAAAACACTACAAAGGCATGCGAGAAAGCGAACATGCATGTGTATATATTATACTCATATTTATATAGGAATTAGTTAATGATACACACACATACATACAAGTATACATATTATTTCTCTACATAATACTCTATATAATAAAGAAAACTAATTGAAAATTGCGCGGGAGCAATGAAAACGGTTTTACCGACAAGGGTGCCACATAGTGGTAATGAAAAACGGAAATAGTCGATCTAGAGGCTGCAGCAAAGCGCACATAAGATAGCGACAAAAATTTTACATGTAGTTGCCCACTTGCGCCACAAACCTCACATTTACAGCCAACAGGGGGACTATGACAGTAAGGCTAGGAGGCTAGGACCGCTAGAGTTCCCCAACAACGACCCCCAACACTAACACACTCACATGTGAATTTATGCTTTAATAGTTAGAACATTTTTACAACAATAGTCGTCATTAATTTGTACGTCCGCCATGTGCCCTGTTTGAGTGTGGACCACGCTTGGTTAACAAGTCACCACAGCTGTCACTGCGGACGCGATCCGGTTCGCAATCCCTCAGCACACTGATTACGATGCGCCGCGCTGATCAACATAGAGATGGCGGTTCAGTCAGCCTCAACCCGACTTAACCACATAAACTAGAGTGCATGCGGTCACATAAGTCTACATATTTATATGCTTTTCTGCATACGTACATATGTAGAAACAATACTCGTATATAAAATATTCAGAGTTGTGCGATTTAAGCGATTTAGCGATTCACTGTTGATCCTATGCTGAATAGTTAACTGATCGTGTAGATCGTAAAAGCAAACATGAAATTATACACGTCCAAATCTATGTATGCATGTATGTATGCGTATATTAGAGTGTGTGTATATTCATAGCGAAATTGAAAGCGCAAAAATTGCCCATTCAGTTCATTCAGCATTCAACTGCCGCGAATACAGAGAGCGCGACAGCGGATGAGGACGATCAACACAATTAACAACACGATCATCAGTTTGCAAACCCAACTACGCGCTCATACATACACACACACACATAGCCAAAATGTACGAGTGTGTGTGCGTAGTCAGCATGCGGCATACACATGCTCACATTAAGATCACTCAAGCACATACACACTCACGCATAAAAATCCAAATATATAATCTTTTTTCAACATATGCATACATACATATAAACATACAGACATACAAACGTACATAAATTCATGGATAGATAGAACTGATGGTGTGCTGGTCCAACTATCGACCCGATATGTCGACTTTTATTGCTGTCAGTTGGTAAGTTCGACTACACATACGCCCCATACACACACGCCATACTTACATACATATGTACGGCTGTTTAGACGCTCATCCGGCCCCATCCGTTCGCCTAATTACATATGTACATGTGCACCATGAATGTAGGCTTGTGTGTGCATATGCCATATACAACACACATGTATGTACATACATATACTCGAATCCGAGCACCAGCCGATCGACCGTATAATGGCTTGTCGGTTGATCATTCGGTTCTTGCTGCCACAGCAAAAATTTGAGAATGAAAAATTTGTTCAACTAACAAAAACGAAAAAATAAAAACTAAAATGAAAATCAAAAAAGATACTCGAAAAATGAAGAAAAACGTAGAACTGAAGAAGAGGCAGAAACAAAAGGTATTGAGCAGCAGCAGCGGAAAAATGAATAGAAGCAAAACTTCTCAGATATTTGCATTTATTTATGATTGTATGATTGTATGTATGGACGGAGGCGAATTGGATATGTACTTCCAGCGAATTGGTCATGGTTGTTTACATATAACCACGCATTGAAATCTACATCCTATGGATTTCAATGTAAACAGGTATAGCGTACAGAGGTACCTCGTCTCGGCCCGATCAACACTACACGAAGTACTTTCATTTCATTTTCATAAAATGGTAAAGTTTTTGCTGCTGACTATCGGCGTGATCGTTCGATGGCACCGGCATTCATTAAATTTCATTCATTTTGAAATGAATTCGCCGCAAGTGGGCGAACGCCAACATACCGACGTAAGCAGCAGTCACACTAACAAAAAAGACCGGTAGTAGGCAAAGAGCGACAATCACAATTGGATTTAACGCTGAACGAGTCAGTAACTGAAAGTGAGAAGTCGCTCACTCATATGCACTATATATGGTCAATGGAGGCTATTACTCAAGATTTTTACTCATGATCCGCGAGCTGACTCAGATTTGCTCGAACTAAAAGTCTTGCCAATTCGCTGAAAAAAACATCAAAGAGAATCGGTTTTTGAGTTCATTCACTCAAACTACGCAATTGACTCAAAGCAATACTCACCGCTCTCAGTCTTGTTATGCTCCAGCTCCTATATGTATGCATTATCGCTCTTCGCCCACTGTGTCCGTATACGCGGTTTAATATGTGGTGTTCGTACGTGTCGGACTGCTTTGTTGGTGATGGATAGATGGCATGTGAGCATTAGCAGCGAGAAGGCAAAAATTTTGTCGGTTGGCGGCTCGTCGCGCACATTAGCGTAGTTCATTTCGCTTAAAAAAGTTTGTGAGTTAAAAACTCGTCAAACGTAGCGCTCGTCGTGCGATCAGACTATAAGCGTGTGGAACGGATCAAACGGTGCGGATATTTTCAATACCAATTCTTTCCTATATATTTTTCGAGTACGTTCCGAACGTTAATAAGGCATTACTCATTTAAAACAAAATCGAAACAGATTTCCAAAAAAAAAAAATAAAAATTAACAAGTTGCGTTACGAAAATATTTAAAATATTCAAACGGACTGTGTGATGTGTTGACGAAGGTGCAGTGCAAATATACGAAAATCACAAAATCTGCGAGCGGTTACTTAAGTAACAGTAAAGTGCGTTCAAAAATCGCAGAAAATTTGTTTTTATATTCTATATACATATATATTATGCAGTCAAGTGTGCGCTTTTTAACAAAATAAAAGTTTCCTGAAAAATACGCTCGAATTCGTTGGGCAGTGGGTTGGAAAGCATGTGAGAGTTCTAATATTGCGGAATACCAAATATTCTCTTGATTCACCAATAATCATGTGAAAAACGAAAAATCCACGATTTTTCTAATCTGTGTTTCTGTAGGTATATTTTTAGATACTTCCTCAGCTGGCAAAAGCCAAAGTTGAAGTAATTATCGAAGCTTAATGGCTGCGGAGTGGATGAAAAGTGAAAACAAAACACACAAATTCACGCAAAAGAGAAACATAAAGAATTAAAAAAAAATTTTGCCGATTTAAACGAAATTTTCATAATGTTACATACGTACATACATGCACATCCGAAAAACGTACGTCGCGAGTTTTTATGTGAAATTGCAAATATAAATAAAATTGAGCACGTACATATTTCAAAAATCCGTTATCAGCAATAAGTTTTTGCACAACAAATAATTTATGAAAACAGTGTCAAAGCATTATTGACACCAGAAATCAAAAAATAAAAAATGCGTATGTGCCTGAAAGAATATTAAGTACATGCATAAATACATCGTTTTCCAATTTTACTTTTTGATACAATTTTCATCGGCTGCGAAGAAAAAGTGCAAAATATTTTCATAGAAAAGTCCCACTGATTCGAAAAAGTTCATAAAATAGGGATAGTGGTGGAATATTTTCCTCCAGAAGTTCGAAAAGTGTTTTCGTTTCTACAATTTATCGCAAGAATTTTTTTGATTGTCTCACACACCAACTACAACAACTATAACAACTTGTGAATGTGCATTTGCAGAACAACGCCTGGATTGCTTTTAACATTTAATGTAAGTTTGCAATCGAAAATTCGTAAATAACAATAATATTAACCAATGAAGGAGCCAGAAATTTAAGTATTCTTAGGCATAACCGTCGCATCGCTTCAAACGAGATAGATAGTATATATAGTCTGTTACAATCAAAACTAATTTTACAATTAAAATCCTCTTTTCATTTTTTCATTATTTTTAATCTATTTTAGAAAATATTCAAAGCATAATCAACGAGATACAGAAAAACCTAAGTTTTTACGAATATTTGCTATGAACGGCGGAGGCCAATCAAAAATTATAATTCCATAATATACTATTATTAGCGTTTTGTGATCGGAAACTCTTCAGTACTCACAAATTAGAAGCATTACTTGTGTAAAACAAAACTTTGTATTTAGATTTTTGTATCTGAAACAAATTTTCTTTGCAGACACATTGTGATCCCACCGGTACTAAAGTCCTTGACTCTACTGGTCCCACTCTGCACCAACCCTGTCCTTCTCATAAAGTTTATGAGCGAGAAAAGTTTTATTTGAGCAACCTTTAAGACATCGTCTTACAAGTCGAAATTTTCCATTTAATTCTAAACGCTTTTACACTCAAGCATTGTTTCACTCCAAATCATAAACATTTATTCGAACAAAATCAGTAAATTGTATGCCATTCATTTGTAACGCCCGGCTCACATCCGGTGTTGCCATGCGCAGCTAACTAATAATTTGTTGCCTACATGCTCTTATGTTTGTTTGTTTGTATGAGACAAGCCTATGCATACTTGTTTGTGCGACGATCGCCATAATCGTTTGTGCTCCTCTCCACAAAGCACACACGACACGATCCACTAATCTTTTGACCTCGACTACGGCCGCGTCGCGCCTCCTCTCACATCTCACAACATCTCTCAACACTTCAACGCGCTCCAAAGTGCATATGTAGGGTATGCGTAGGTATGTATGTCAGCGTATTTGTTTGTGATCGCTGATTATATGTGTGCTTCATTACTGCCACGATCACATTGAACCGTCGCCCGTTGCTGATCGAGTTAACGATGGCGAGCAGGCGTAGAAGCTGGGGGGCGGAAGTGGTCGTTTATAAAAATTCATTCATTCATTCGTAAAAACACAGGCGTACACGATAATACACACACGCACATATGTATGTATATAGACATATATATATGTGTATAACATATCAAAATACATATGTATGTATATACGTATGGCATGACAAATATTTCTACATTCATTCATTTTATGCGCGTCTATATGCGAGTTCATACACATGATATATACATACGTACGTTTATTGGCTGTTAACTCGTATCGCAATCGTATTGATTTGTCGCGAACGTTTTGGCATTCGCTTGGCGATATTGAATAAATATTTCGCGTATTTTGAACGCAATCTTAAATAACTGAGTAGTACAGTAAGTTGAAGAAATTTTTTGGATTTTTATAAAGGCTTTCAAATCGTTGTTTGAGTTCTTTGTCTTCTATTTAAAAAAGTGTTTTACAGTTAATGCAGAAAAGCTTCCTTAAAATATTTTCTTTTGGAAAACTTTATAGTATATGTTGGAGAACTCAACTTGCTTATCGCCAATCGCTTTCAAAATTTCAATTTGTCACATTGCTTAAACAATCCCAAAATATAATCTAGTGTCATAACGAAGACATTTCCTATAACAATTGAAGGATTGAGTTGGATATCTAAATTCATGTCTAGAATTTAATGAATCTATATAAGAAAAGCGATTTCGGTTATGTTTGGATGATAAATTCTAGACACTTATTGGTTGGAGGAAAACGAAGAATAATTGTGCTAATGGTCAATTCTGTACAACAAGCCTTAAACAAAATCGAAATCGCTCTTTTTATATAGATACATTAAAAATAAAAAAGACTCCTGGAGAAATAGGCAACTCACGCCTGGAAAACAGCACTCCGATTACCGAATCGCCGATAAATACCCCACATTTTTAGCTGGACATCGCCTTCGGTGTTAAAACAGAAAGCCTAAAATCTGCAATACTTCTAAGAAATAAATAAGGAAGAAGAATATAATAAGTTGAAGTTTGATTAGAAATACGAAAAGACTTTTTCGATTATCATAAATCAATTAAGACATTTTACAGTAACAATATACAAAATTATGCAAAATCCCATTGAAATTTGCTAAGGAATTTTCAAAAATGTCATCCGCAGAACCTTGCCTTTGCATAAATAAGTGTGCACAAACCCGCAAATTCACTGAAATCTTAAGATCATTCTTCGTTCATTGACGTCTTTTCAACGAAAGAGACGAGAATTTGTTAATAAAAATAAGTAAGAAGTAAACAAAAATTATTTTCAACTGTTACAACAAAAACAAGTACGACACAACAACAATAACAACAACAAGTGCACGCACATGCCGTGACAAAAACGAAAATACCAACAATAATAAGAAGCAGCAATAAACTTGTGCCGGCTGGGAGGCTAACTGCGGCCGCTGCAGCTTTGGCTGTGTCAGCGCGTCATACAAATTAACAATAACAACAACAACAATGGCACAAACCAAAATATGTATTACTCACTTGCGTAAATGCACGCGCATAAATAGCTGAGGAGCCACCAGCACAGCACAGCCCAGCATAGTACAACACAACATGGTCGTAATTTCTTGCGATGTGCCTTCCTCCACCACCGAACCATCGAAAAGACCAAACGCTTTCGCAAAATTTTCGTAAAAATAGCACGCACACACGTACAAACGCACGCATAGCTGCCGACGTGTGCGCGTTGAGGGAAAATTATTGAAACGTTGCAGTGGCAATACATTCAGCGGCACAACGCTGTTGCAGCAAGCATCGCGATGCAAAGTTAAAAATAACCGAAAATTTTCAGTATCCGCTGGGGCCGACCGAATTGCGCCGGCTGGGGGTGGGGGCGCGCATAAGGTTGCAAGCCGGCAGCCAAACAGCCAAACAGCCAACCAGCCAGCTAACAGGCAAGCTAATAAGCGTCGCGCATAGCAAGGCGGGATGTTGTGGCGTAATTTTCTTCTTATTACCGTTGTTGCTGTTGTTGCCGGTTGCCATCGTTGTGCGCCTAATGTTGTCGATGATGCTACTACAGCAGCTCAGTTGTTATTACTGTTGCGATTTCTTGGCTGATCGCCGACTATGATGACGATCGTCACATTGCAGTGTTTTGCGCTTTGTGTTGTGGTTGTTCTTGTTGTTGCTATTGCCATGGCTGCGTCAGCATTTGTCGCACACTTATTTTCGCAAAAATGAGATTTTATGCCTCAGCGTATTGGCGGTGTTGTTGTTGCTGTTGTTGTCGTTGTTGGGCTTTCGTGTGCTACGAGTGGGACATAAATAACTTGATCTATCTTTAGGCGCTGCAGCGCTACGCTGACGCGTTGGAGGAGGCGTGGTTTGTCTTACTGCCTTGGCAAAGTGGGCAAGCATGAAAACTAAATTCGGAAAGCGAAGAAAGCGAGCAAAGTAAAAGGCGCTGGCATAAAAAACACTCTCGGGACTTGGTAGGCAGTTGCTTGTTGGTCGTGTTTTTTTTTGTTTCAACAAAACATTTCATGTTTTGATATTGTTACTCGGAGGATAGGCATAAATAGCGAGAACAGCATTTAGAATAAGATGAACTATCCGTCTGTCTGTCTGTCTGTCTGTCTGTCTGTCTGTCTGCCCGCTACTGATGCCAGCGACGCAGACTGCTCTGCTATTGTCGTAATTGCTCGAAATCTTTGCACATTATTTCGTGTGTTTCTTCTTGTTGTATTCTGTTTTCCTCGTGCTTTTTGATTTTCTTTTTTTTTTTTTTATTGCGACAGTTATTTCATTTGAATTTTTGTTGTGTTTTGGCTGCTAATATCGCCGCTGCTGTTATTTTTGTTGTCGCTATTGTTGTTGTATAGTTTTCGTCTGCCAGCGTCTGATGATAATAAACGATTGCGGCGATTCAACGTTTCAACTTCATTCAGTAAATCAGCGTTTCTCGCACTTTTTTGAGGCTACACAGACGTTTGCAATTGTTGGCATTGTTGTACGTGTAGATGTTGTTGGCTAACGCATTTTATTCGGCCAACTGTCTCGCTTTTGGTAGCTGCTTTGAATGGCTTATGGTTGGTTAAGCGCACGCTCGTGATGCCTCTTTGTGTGTTATGTGAATTTTTCATTTTTTGTTTTTGTTTGCGCTTCCTTCTCACTTTGACGTCATACCGTTATGCTGGTCAATAAATTTTTTCTTCCTATAAATATGAACCGCAACTATAAGTCTGTGAAATTCTAAATTTCAGTGCAAGTAAATGGTTGATAGATAAGGAACAATTGAAGTGTAGAGCTCAAAATAATAACGGGAAACACTCCACTTTTTCTGTTGCCGAGTATTATGCCCATTATATTTGTTTTGAATAGCGGAAATAACTTCGTAAGAGACTTTTTGTTAACGAAACACGTGTACATGTATTAGAAATGTATGTATATGATCTGCTTGGGACAAATGAAGCCGGCTTGATAAGATCGTTAAAAAATTTACGATTTACAATCCGAACTAAACCCGTTTTCAGCAAGTAATCTAACATATAATCACAGTGCAGTCATAACACAGTGAAGAAGATAAGACATATCTACAATTCCATTTTTGAGCATTATATACCAACGGCAGTGCGATATCTTTCTTTAAGCAATGTTAAAATTGGGAATTCCACTTCATGGATTTCCTAGCAAAACATTTGCCTACTCAAGGAATTAACCAATAAACCACTCATGGACATTGTTTTATATTTTTTTGTAGATTAAGTCTACAATGAGCTATAACGCTTGAAAAAAAGCCAACAAATAAAAAATATAAAAAAAGTAGGAGGTACTCGGCAATATTTTCAATAAAGTGAAAAATTGCGACACATTGTTTTATAAACAAAAAACTGGGACAAATTTGTATTTGCCTAATCTCGAGCCCGCTGGCATACAAGAATCATGATGATGGGAGCAAAGGAAGAATTTCCTTTTAGAAAAG